GCCTCAGCGTTAGAAGAGGCATTATTCTTTTGGAAAGGAGGGTGTTCTCTCACTCTCAGTTTATTGTCATGGCAGAAAATGTATAGCACTGTTGGATTAGACAAGCCATTTCCTGTCTCCAGAATGTTTTGGAGAAAAGGGCCCATGGAATAATGATTGACATCTGATACTAGTTACAAGCTCTGCTATGTTGGATTGGTAAAGGATCATTTGAATGCCAGTAAACATCTGGTTATTTAAGAGGCGCAGTCTGAATTTTGAGTTACCAGTCAGTTTATATCTTCTCAAAGCTTCTGTTTTAGGGAGTGCCTTTGTGGCATTAAATAGCAGTGTCGCTAATTAATGGAATTATTCATTTTCAGTTTACACTAGAGTAGCCATTTTGATAAGCCCTTATTATCTCTGTTTTTAACAAATAAAGGGCTATTTGAAAACTAGTAGAGTTCATGAGAACAAAGCCTTTTTCTATGTGTGACTTAAGGTAACTTTTAAACAGAATTATACAAAAGCTATTGCCTATTTACCATTTGATATAATGCAGGCCTGCTGTGCTTTGATCATGTAGATAGTAATTTTCTGTGTTTTTCTTTTAAGGTTACAAGCAGTGGTACATGGCTTGTTGTGGACATGAGGTTCCAGTTGCCAATTCAAGTCACTGTCATCCTTTCAGGCTCGAATTAGGCGTTTTCAATGCACCTCTGTATCAGTTCCTGGCGTGATTGCAGGTAAACGGGAAGGGCTGGATTTTCATGTGTTGGGGATTTTCTTGGAACGGTATAATATTGACTTGCTGCAAGCACTCAATGTTTTAAGTTTAATTTACATATGAACCAAATGCTTGATCTGTTCTGATCATTAAATTCCCCACTAGTTATCTCACTGTCATCTACATATTCATACTATTCAGGGAATGATCTCATCAGTCACCACCACCCATCCTCCATTCCTAATTGTCCGTTGCTGTCCTCTTATTCTATTTCTTTTCTTTTTCTGTGTTCTTATTTTTTTTAAAGCTGCCCACCCCCCCAAATCTTCTGGAAATATGGTTAAATTTCTTGACTCATCCTTCTTGGTTGCCATTTCTTATTGATCTGTTTCTGTTGTTTTTCACAATTTCCTTCCTAGCCCTCTTGGCATTCAAAACTTCTTTGGTATGGTTTCTTCGGTGAGACACTTGGGCAGGTCTTTTAAATTTCATTTTCCCTCATCTGTTAAAATGTGGTTAAAAATACTTACGCTTGTGAGTGTAAAGATTAGATTAAATATGTAAAGCATGTAACCTGGCCAATTGACCAAATAATAGCTCTTGTTATTCTTATGTTTCTTTCTTTGGTCCTTTGCTCTGGGCTCTTTGTGCGTCCCTTGTCGTACATGTAGCCCATCTATATACTGCTCTTATCAACTGACCATTTGCCAGTTCCAATGGCCATTATTGAGCCTTTCTTATTTGAACTTTATGCATTTGGGTCAGTTTGATCATTTCCATTTTTTCCATATACTTACTGTTTCAAGGACATCTTCTTGGTTCCCTACTTCTTGGTCTGCTGGTTCCTTCTTTATCTTCCAACTTTTAAATTGTGGCTGCCTCAGGTTCAGTCTTCAGTTCTTAACTTTCTCCTACACTGGCTCCACTGTGTTCATGCAGTCCATGCTTTAACCACAATTTATTCATGTTTTTATATCTGCCTACCAAAATCTTCACTGGAGATCTATAGGAGCCATTGTCAAACTCCCTATGTCCAAACTGACACTTGATTTTGTCATTTGCTGAGTGCCCTCCACACTACTCCTCCCCGCTTGAGGACAACTTGTCTCCCTATAGTAGTTATGAGTAAATGGTAGATCTTTTCTTGCTAGGGCTCAGGCAGCCTGTGTTGGCTTTGACCTTGTTTTTCTGATCTACTTCCAGGTTCATTAGCTATCCCTATAATCTATTTTAAAATGTATCAGAATTGATCACTCTACTACTTCTATCATTGCTCCGATTCAGCCACTGTAAACTCTTGCCCCCATTGTGGCATGTCCCCATTCTGTCTGTGTCTTTGAGACTGTTTCTTATGCTCAGTCCTTCCACTGGCTTCCAATGCAAGAAACCATACCTTACAATGGTCCAAAAGGCTTATGGATCTTGCTTTTTGCGCCTCTTGACCTTCTTTATCAGTTCGAATTAACAGAATGATAGCAACCAAGGTCGATAATTTAAAGGAACCATTTACAAGATAGGGTATTAAGGGTATCACAAAAAGATAGCACAGTAATATTGGACTATAACAGGCAGAGTAACAGTAGAGGCATTTGAAGAGTGTCTGGTATGAATTTGGAAAGAAGTTGGAATAGAGAAGGCTGCCTTGACAAGCAGTGATTGTGAGGTGAGGGGTCGCCAGCCTGGAGGTAACTGACATGATTTCTACCCTTCCTTGTTTCCTTTGCGGATCCCACATAGGCCTGTACATTATAGTTTCAACATGTAACAGTTAACACCAACACGGTGGCTGAAACAACACAAAAGTTTCCCTCTAAAATTTTGAACCGAAGTTTTGAATGGGGGTTTTGTAGGCAAAACTGCCAACAAAAAAAAAAAAAAAAAACCAAAGGTGGCAATATACTTGTATACTCCCTCGGATGCTCTAGGTGGAGAATCTGTGTCTTGTCTTTCCTGCTTCTTATAGCTTTCTTGCTCACGGCCCCTTTCCATTTCAGGAGCAGTTTGCATCTTTGTTTCATTGTTACATTGCCTTCTGCTATTCCTGGTCGCTCTGACTTTTGCCTCTTACAGAAGACTATGTGGATTGCATTTAAGGCCTCCCTGCATTAATCCAGAATAATCCTCCGATCCAAGGTGCCTTAACTTAGTTACACCTGCAAAGTCACTTTTGCGCATTAAATTAACATTAACAGTTTCAGGGAATAGGACCTGGATATCTCGGGGTGGGCTGGTCATTATTTAGCCTACCATAGGCTGAACTCATCTTTCAAAAAGCCGAGGGCAAAGAAGCTTGTGGTGGATTCATTCAGGTAGCTTGTAGGAGCTCAGAAATGGAAGATGACTAGCACTACTCCTTTCGCTCCTCTGTCTCCTCCTTAGTCTTCTGCCACAGTGACGTTGCCCTTGAACTAGCATATTCCTGTTTCAGGTCTCTTGCATTTTTTTGTTTTATTGTCATTCCCACTAGAATGGAAATTCCACAAAAGGGTTATTTCTGTTGTTTGCCGATCATTTCCTCACGTGTACGCCACTGGTGTACTAGCCTGTAGTAATAACTGCTTAGTAAGTATTAATAGGTGATGAAGCCTTATTATTAGTATACCTGCTTTCAAAATACCTAAGGGTTAGTATTTTCCCCCCAGACCTGCCATTTCTGTTGTAATCTGTCCATCCTTCTTTCCTTTGCTCTCATCTGATCAAAATATGCTTCACTGACCATTCTCATGTCCCCCAAACTCCCAGACATTTTGTGCTTTTGTTTTATTATGCTCATTCATTCCATTCTTTCTGCCTGAAATGGTCTACCTGCACCTGTATCACTTCTAGCTTTATCTGCTTTTTCAGTCCCAGCTAAAGCATTTTCTCCATGGAAGTGACTTGACTCTCACCCACTGGTGATGAATCATATCAAAAGATCACCACTGTGATCTTTCCTTCTTGAGTTCAGTGGAACTTTATGTTTCTCCTCTTGTTTTGTTGTCATTGTCTTATATTACATAATTCTTTTTCACCTCTGCTTCTAACTCACCGGTTTCTTGAGGGCAGGGTCTTATATTTGATTTGTCTTTCTCATGATGCTACAATCATTCCACTTTGGTTCGGAGACACAGTAATTTTACTGTTAAGTTATTGAAAACTTCTTTAAATCTTGTCCATCTTAGGTGACAGGGTAACACTGTTATTTCAAAAGTACTAGTCCAAGATTTCTTGCAGGATAGGAAACAAATGGGAAATGGATACCAGGCTGACTTGGTATTTATCTACCAAGATTATGAAACGTCTAAGAGCCAAATTCCTTTTGTCGAGTCATGGTTTTTTGCCTTTCTTCTTAGCTTTCAGGGCAACAATGGAAGTGTCCATGTGGACATGGAGATGGTGACAGAAGATTTACTCTCTGGGCCAGCAGTGCACCACCCTTCTGAGTTACAGGTTTGGCTCAGTTATTACTGTAAAGGACAGTGTTATTCCTAATTCTAAGAATTTCAGGGCCTTATCAAAAAATAAAGTGTTTGGGCTTGGGGTTTATGTTAAATTTGGGGTTTTAATAGAAGTATCATGTGGCCATGGCTCGTGTGGAGTGTTTTCAATTCCGTTAAGCTTGCTAGTGTTCTGCCCATTGGAGTGTGTTTTAGCTGCGTAACCTGTAAGGGTCATATGTCTCTTTGGAACTCGAGTAGATCTGGGGTTAATAAGAAAAACCCCAATTGGGTTTAGGTCATTAAAAATGTCTATATAACCTTTACATCTACTTTTGTTTTTTGTTTTTGTTTTTTTTTTTTTTTTTTTGAGACAGTGAGTCTCGCTTTGTTGCGCCAGGCTAGAGTGAGTGCCGTGGCAGTCAGCCTGGCTCACAGCACCTCAAACTCCTGGGCTAAGCGATCCTCCTGCCTCAGCCTCCAATGCTGGACTACAGGCATTCGCACCATGCCGGCTAATTTTTTGTATATTATTAGTTTGGCCAATTAATTTCATTTCTATTTATAGTAGAGACGGGGTCTCGCTCGTTGCTCAGGCTGGTTTGAACTCCTGACCTTTTAGCAATCGCCCGCCTCGGCCTCCAGAGAGTAGGATTACAGGCGTGGCACCGCGCCCCGCTATCTCTTTGTGTTTTAATAGTGATGTTGCAAGGGTGCTTCACTGAGGCAAAGGATAGGGAAGATTTTTTTTTTGTCCTTTAGTTGGGTCATTGGTCAAGATGAATCCTGAAATAGGAAGATTTTAGGAAGCCTGAACAGGCTATACCTCTGGGGAATTGATACAAACAATGGCTATTTTAAGATCCCAAAGAGGAAGTAGACAGGGCATATGTAACTGGTGTCTCATTTCTTCAGGTAAATAGGTGCTTATAAAGCTACTGTTAACTTGCCTCTAGAAATGGTACCATCATTTATGGCATACACTGATGCCTTTTATTTGACAATTTCTTTTAAGCCTTCTCCTCACAGTGTCCATGGTATCTACTGCAGTCCTGCGGATGGAAATCCTATCCTGTTAACAGCTGGATCAGACATGAAAATAAGGTATAGTATCTAATAAAGAATCCTTAATGTGTAATACTTTGGTTTATTCAAGGTTTTATAGATATTGGTGGCACTGTAATGTTTAAAATCATCTTATAAAGATAGCTGTTAATATTTGTAACTAATGTTATGCTATTAGTTCTAGAAAAATATCTTTTCCAAATACAAAAGAAGATAAACAATGCATTGATTGTTAGTTCCTCCCAGTGTCCTTTAGGGATTATCACCATTTATTTTTTTCTTCCTAGGTTTTGGGATTTGGCTTACCCAGAAAGGTCCTATGTTGTTGCAGGAAGTACTAGTTCCCCAACTGTCTCTTACTACAAGAAAATAATTGAAGGCACTGAAGTTGTCCAGGTACACTAGTCTTTATTTTTGTTTCTTTCAACTTTTATAAGCACAAAAATGGCTTTCATAGACATAGAATTGATTAAAATAAGTGGCTTTGGCCAAGAATGGCAATATTTCTTTGAATTTAAGAAATACATATTCTTGGCTTTTTTGTTTTTAAAATTAAACTTTTATTAAGATAATAAAGTGTACATATGAGATAGTTCAAATGAACAAGAGGCATTTTATATGTTTCTCAGTCTTTAAAGTCATTTTTAAGGAAGTACTACAAACGAAAAAGGCACAGTGAACTTAAGTATCTTGTCCACAATCACACAGCTAATGAACAGAAACTGGGACTCTAAAGCTTGTGTTGACTCAGGCATAAATTTCAAATGAGAATATAATCCTAAAAATGCTTGGGCCAGAGTAGGTGCTTCATAAATGAAAGTGTGCTTTCTTCATGACAAATGTTAAGGAGCTGTACAAGTGCTAGAACTCTGATATGTGTCATTTATACCTCTTTCAGTTACATTCAATTATATATTTTTCTTTTGATACTGACAAAAGAATATGCACAGAATACTGGCCTAATTATAAGTTTCTATATTTATAAGTGGCTGCTCATAGATTCAAGGAGGAAGCCTAGGATGTCATTTTGGACCCTCTAATTCTTTTGCTCATTGTATTTTTGAAAGCACAACCACTTGACAAGAGATATTAACAAATCCCAGAAACAAGAATACTGACAAGACATAGATGTGATATGGACTTTTAACTTAGGCTTTCTCCTTGACTTCTAACCCTCAAACAGGAAATTCAGAATAAGCAGAAGGTAGGACCGAGTGATGACACCCCTCGAAGGGGCCCAGAGTCTCTGCCTGTGGGACATCATGACATCATCACGGACATTGCCACATTCCAGACAACACAGGGCTTCATTGTAACTGCTTCTAGAGATGGGATTGTGAAGGTGTGGAAATAAAAGCCTATTGATTTGTATAAATTGTAATAAAGTTATAAATATATTGTAACTCAAGAGAAAAGGTATTTCTAGAGAACAGAAGAACAGATTCATTTGTGTAATTTTCAAAATCAGGTCTCTCTGTTACTGTTTCATGACTAAACAAACTACACCCAAGGGTGTTATGGAAGTTGTACTTAGCTCGTTTACTTGTGCATCTTTCTGCAAGAATCAGCCAGACAACAGTGTCAGGGACTTTTTATTGTATATGTCATAGAGGTGAGAATGTAAAATACAAAGATTAATAATGATGTCAGTTTATTTTGTATTGAAAAAGAGGTTGAAAAGATGGTTGTAAGCTATTATAATGTAAACACATTTTTGCTATTAAAAATGCTCTTCAAACCTGCCAATAAACTATATTCATGCACCCTAGAAGGGTTTGTTTGTTTTGGGTGGTATTTTTAAACAGTAAACTTAAGCAGAGGAGTAAACTCTCCAGCAGCATTTGATCTGAGGCAAAAAAAAAAAAAAATGCAGAGATTTGGGCCTAAGGCCTAGTTTTGTCACCGATTCCTTGTGACACTAACTATTGTGCTCTTTCTGCTCTGTTCTCGACTTTCTTCCTGTATGTTTTATAGTCTGCCTTAGTCATTAATGCTATAGAATTGATTTCCTACCCTGATCAGCTTGAGGAGGGCAGGCCGAATGCCTGCTGGGCTTTTGATTGGTGTTTCCTTGGAGTGGATAGCCCCCCCCCCCCCCCCCCCCCCCCCCCCCCCCCCCCCCCCCCCCCCACCCCCCCCCCCCCCCGGGGTAAAGCAGAGGACACAACAGCCCCTTCCCTGGATTGGAAAGCAGTCAAGAAGGTGCTCTGTCCCTTTCCATGACCAGCTGCTCAGCGTTGAAGAGGCATTATTCTTTGGAAAGGGAGGGTGTTCTCTCACTCCAGTTTAAGTTGTCATGGCAGAATGTATAGGCACTGTTGTGATTAGAAAGCCATTCCTGTCTCCAGAATGTTTTGGAGAAAAGGGCCCATGGAAATGATTGACATGCTGATATAGTACAAAGTCCTGCTTATGTTGGGATTGGTAAAGTGATCATTGAATGCCAGTAACATCTCTGGTTATTTAAAGGCCAGTCTGAACATTTTGACTTACCAAGTTCAGTTTATATCTTCTCAAAAGCTTCCTGTTTTAGGAGTGCCTTTGGCAGTTAATAGCAGTGTCCTAATTAATGAATTATTCATTTTCAGTTTACACTAGAGTAGCATTTTGATAAGCCCTTATTATCTCTGTTATTTAACAACTAAAGGTGCTATTTGAAAACTAGGTAGACAGTTCATGAGAACAAAGCCTTTTTCTATGTGTGACTAAGGTAACTTTAAACTAAATTCATACAAAGCTATTGCTATTTACCATTTGTATAATGCAGCCTGCTGTGCTTTGATCATTAGATAGTAATTCTTCTGTGTTTTTTTCTTTAAGGTACAAGCAGTGGTACCATGTTGTTGTGGACATGAGGTTCCAGTTGCCAATTCAAGTCACTGTCATCCTTTCAGGCTCGAATTAGCGTCTTTCAATGCACCCTCTGTATCATCCTGGGGTGATTGCAGGTAAAACGGAGGGCTGGTTTCATGTGTTGGGGATTTTCTTGGAACAAGTATATATGAACTTTGCTGCAAGCACTCATGTTTAAGTTTAATACATATGAACAAATGCTTGATTCTGTTCTGATCATTAAATTCCGCACCAACTAGTTATCTCATGTCATCTTCATATTCATATATTCAGAAAGATCTCATCATCACCACCACCCATCCCTCCATTCCCTAATATGTCCCGTTGCTGTCCCTTAATCTATTCTTTCTTTTTCTTGTTCTTTTTTTTGTTAAAGCTGCCCACCCAAATCTTCTGGAAATATGGTTATAATTACTTGACTCATCCTCCTGTTGCCATTTCTATTGATGCTGTTTCTGTTTGTTTTCACAATTCCTTCCATAGCCTCTTGGCATTCAAAACTTCTTGGTAGGTTCTTCGGTGAGACACTTGGGCAGGTCTTTAAATCCATTTCCCCCATCTGTAAAATGTGGTTAAAATACTTAGCTTGTGAGTGTAAAGATTAGATTAAAATGTAAAGCATGAACCTGACCAATTGACCAATAATCAGTCTCTTGTTATTCTTATGTTCTTTCTTTGCCTTTGCTCCTGGGCTCTTTGGCGTCCCTTTCGTTACATCGTAGCCCATCTATAATTACCTGCTCTATCAACTGACCATTTGCCCAAGTTCCATGGCCATTATTGAGCTCTTCTATTTGAACTTATCATTTGGGTCAGTTGATCATTTCCATTTTTCCATATACTTACTGTTTTCAAAGGACATTTCTCTGTGTTCTCCTACTTTTGGTCGCTGTTCCTTCTTTATCTCAACTTTTAAATTGTGCTCGCTCAAGGTTCAGTCTTCAGTTCGTTAACTCTTCTCCTACACTGGCTCCACTTGTGATTCAATTGGCATCCCATCACGCTTTAACCACCCAATTTATTCATGTTTTATATCTTGCCTACTCAAAACTTCACTGAAACATAGAGAGCCATTGTCAATACCCCCTATGTCCAAACTGACACTTGATTTTGTCTTTGCTGAGTGCCCTCCACCCATACTGCCTCCTTGAGACAACTTGTCTCCCTATAGTATTATGAGTCAAATGTAATGCTCTTCTGCTAGGGCTCAGGCAAACCTGGTGTTGGCTTTGACCTTGTTTTTCTGATTCTACTTCCCAGGTTCATTGCTATCCTATAAAATATCCTATTTTAAATGTATCCAGAATTGATCACTCGTCTACTTCTATCATTGCTCCGATTCTAGCCACTGTAACCTTGCCCCCAGTGGCATGTCCCCATTCTGTCGTGTCTCTTGAGACTGTTTTCTTATGCCTCAGTACCTTCCACTGGCTTCCATGCAAATAACAGCATACCTTACAACTGGTCCAAAAGGCTTATGGGATCTTGCCTTTTTGCGCCCTCTTGACCTTTTTATCAGTTCGAATTACTACAAGAAATGATACAACCCAAGGTCGGATAATTTAAAGAACCATTTACAAGATAGGGTATAAGGGTATCACAAAAAGATACACAGTAATATTGGACTATAACAGGCCAAGGTAACAGTAGAAAGCATTGAAGAGTGTCTGGTATTGAATTTGGAAAGAAGTTGAAATAGAGAAGGCTGCCTTGACAGAGCCCGAGTGATCTGTGAGGTGAGGGGTCGCCCAGCCTGGAGGTAACTGACATGATTTCTACCCTTCCTTGTTTCCTTTGCGGATCCCACATAGGCCTGTACATTATAGTTTCAACATGTAACAGTTAACACCAACACGGTGGCTGAAACAACACAAAAGTTTCCCTCTAAAATTTTGAACCGAAGTTTTGAATGGGGGTTTTGTAGGCAAAACTGCCAACAAAAAAAAAAAAAAAAAACCAAAGGTGGCAATATACTTGTATACTCCCTCGGATGCTCTAGGTGGAGAATCTGTGTCTTGTCTTTCCTGCTTCTTATAGCTTTCTTGCTCACGGCCCCTTTCCATTTCAGGAGCAGTTTGCATCTTTGTTTCATTGTTACATTGCCTTCTGCTATTCCTGGTCGCTCTGACTTTTGCCTCTTACAGAAGACTATGTGGATTGCATTTAAGGCCTCCCTGCATTAATCCAGAATAATCCTCCGATCCAAGGTGCCTTAACTTAGTTACACCTGCAAAGTCACTTTTGCGCATTAAATTAACATTAACAGTTTCAGGGAATAGGACCTGGATATCTCGGGGTGGGCTGGTCATTATTTAGCCTACCATAGGCTGAACTCATCTTTCAAAAAGCCGAGGGCAAAGAAGCTTGTGGTGGATTCATTCAGGTAGCTTGTAGGAGCTCAGAAATGGAAGATGACTAGCACTACTCCTTTCGCTCCTCTGTCTCCTCCTTAGTCTTCTGCCACAGTGACGTTGCCCTTGAACTAGCATATTCCTGTTTCAGGTCTCTTGCATTTTTTTGTTTTATTGTCATTCCCACTAGAATGGAAATTCCACAAAAGGGTTATTTCTGTTGTTTGCCGATCATTTCCTCACGTGTACGCCACTGGTGTACTAGCCTGTAGTAATAACTGCTTAGTAAGTATTAATAGGTGATGAAGCCTTATTATTAGTATACCTGCTTTCAAAATACCTAAGGGTTAGTATTTTCCCCCCAGACCTGCCATTTCTGTTGTAATCTGTCCATCCTTCTTTCCTTTGCTCTCATCTGATCAAAATATGCTTCACTGACCATTCTCATGTCCCCCAAACTCCCAGACATTTTGTGCTTTTGTTTTATTATGCTCATTCATTCCATTCTTTCTGCCTGAAATGGTCTACCTGCACCTGTATCACTTCTAGCTTTATCTGCTTTTTCAGTCCCAGCTAAAGCATTTTCTCCATGGAAGTGACTTGACTCTCACCCACTGGTGATGAATCATATCAAAAGATCACCACTGTGATCTTCCTTCCTTGAGTTTCAGGTGGAACTTTATGTTTCTCTCTTGTTTTGTTGTCATTGTCTTATATTACAATATTCTTTTTCACTCTGCTTCTAACTACACCGGTTTCTGGAGGGCAGGTTATATTGATTTGTCTTTTCTCATTATGCTACAATCATTCCACTTTGGTTGGAGACCAGTAATTTTACTGTTAAGTTTATGAAAACTTTTTAGATCTTATCCATCTAGTGACAGGGGTAACATTTATTTACAAAACGTACTAGTCAGCATTTCTGCAGGATAGGAAAAAATGGAAATGGATACCAGGCTGACTGGTATTATCTACCAAGATATGAAAACGTTAAGAGCCATTCTTTTGGTCGAGTCATGGTTTTTGCCTTTCTTCTTAGCTTTCAGGGCACAATGAAGTGTCATGTGGAATGGAGATGGGTGACAGAAGATTTACTTTGGCCGCAGTGCACCACCCTTTCTGAGTTACAGGTTTGGCTCCAGTTATTACTGTAAAGAATGTTACTTCCTAATTCTAAGAATTCAGCTTATCAAAACATAAAGTGTTTGGGCTGGGGTTTATGTTTAAATTTGGGTTGTAATAGTCAAGTATCATGTGGCCATGGCTCGTGTGAGTGTTTTTCAATTCCTTCAAGTTGCTAGTTTCTGCACCATTGGAGTTGTTTTAGCTGCTAACTGTTAAGGGGTCAATGTCTTTTGGAACTCGAGTAAGATCTGGGTTAATAAGAAAAACCCAATTGGGTTGTAGGTCATTAAAATGTTATATAACCTTTACATTCTACTTTTGTTTTTTTTGTTTTTTTTTTTTTTTTGAGACAGAGTTCGCTTTGTTGGCCAGGCTAGAGTGAGTGCCAGTGGCTCAGCCTAGTCCCAGCAACCTCATAACTCCTGGCTCAAGCGTCCTCTGGCTCTCAGCCTCCCAATGCTGGACTACGGCATGACGCACCATGCCGGGCTAATTTTTCTATATATTATTAGTTGGCCAATTATTTCTTCTATTTATAG